CACTTTCGCGCTTCACTAGTTCTACTCTGGTGAACCCTTGTGAATCTAGGCCAAGCTCGTCTACACCACCATAGTGGAACCTGTCAACTCTTGTAAGCTCACGGAATGGCTCTCTAGATGGGTCGACACGTCGATGGGAAGTAGCAAAAGTGCGAAATGCCCCCTTCCCCCCATCGCCGAACTGCATCTTCTTTTTCCTGTTCAGGTTAGGCGCAGTTTGGCTTTGGGGAGAGGAGGGACATTTCGTTTTTTTGGCTACTTCGCATAAAATTGTTGGGCCATCAAAGTCCAGGTACCGTTGGGTGACGAGTTTTCTCCACCTTTACAAAAGTTCACAGGTTTCACCAAGATGGCAGCTGTAAATCAGAACGAGTGAAAAAGTTCGCAAAATGCCCCCCCCCCCTCCTCCCCGCCGCATAACTGCGTCCTCGAGGTTGTCTTGTTTTGTTACCGTAACCTTCGAGGTCGTGTCAGGACCAACACTATACCGTGATATCGTTAAACGGATCTTCATAGGTTCCAACCAATAACTTTTGTATTTTGCAGACGAAACCCGAGGCTGGCGCGGTGAAATTTCTTCTAGCCGGAGTAAGATCAATTTCGACGAGTTACATTCGAAAGAAACCATGCCGCAGTATGAAGTCAGGGTTAGTACTCGGTTTTTCTCGCGGTTCTGGATTTGATTTCAATTACTTTTTTAATGATGTATAATTGTTTGAGGTCATTATTCTCGTGAAACGTTTCCTTTCAATTCTTCTTTTGAGCGCTGTGACCCTATTCCTGTTTGTGGGAAAAGTGTGTCGTGTTCGCAAATCTTTTGAAGAATATGCAATACAGTAATGTGTTCTCTTAAAAGTGGTTTTCTCAGTTATAATGGTTGCCAAGTGTTTTTCAGTTTTGTTTGCTCGAATGCTTTGCTCGAATGCTTGGCGTGGTTGAAACGTCAGTAGTGAGGAATTTGGGTTGTGTTCAGACTGTTAGCGTGGTCAAAAAGGCTCCTTGAAAAGTTTAGTGGGCGATCCCCGCCATGATTTTGAGCGTTTCGATCAATAGTTTTGGTATTTTTGTGAGTATTGTGCTGTCTTGGAATATTCAACAGCAGTTTGAAACTCCAAAAGTCCATTTCAAAAAAAGTCGAAAGACGCCCAAGGCTCAAATGTTTTCCGAATCTTTTTATCATGCTTATTTCGGTGCTTGTTAGTAGCACCTTCGTCAGGCCCGTGTTGTCACTTTCTATTGTAGTTGTATTGTAAGTGGGAAGATTATATAGTAAGTTCGGCACGATTCACCCTTTACTGCCCCAATCTTCCAAAAACAGGCCAGTTTTTGACCGACTTTTTTCTGCGTTGGCAGAATTGGCTGAAAATTTGTTCCCTGGGGTAGTTTGACCTCCTGAACATGAATATCACATCCGCTCGGCACGAAACCTGGCGCCCGCGCCACAGGCGCCGGCGCCAAAATACCCTAAATCACCAAATTCGCTGAAAACTTGTCAACTGGGGTAGTTTGACCCCCTAAACACGAATATCACATCCGCTCGACCCGAAACCTCCTGGCGCCCGCGCTACAGGCGCTGGCGCCAAAATACCCCAAATCACCGGCGCCTGTGGCGCGGGCGCCAGGAAGTTTCGGGCTAAGCGAATGTGATATTCGTATTCAGGAGGTCAAACTACCCAGGAGACAACATTTGAGCCAAATCTGTCCACGGAGAAAAAAGTCGGTCAAAAACTGGCTCAATTCTGGATGGTTGGGGCAGTAAAGGGTAAATAGTGCCGTAAGTTCTAACTCACTCGCGGCACTGTCACAATACTGGATTAACCCTTCAGATCCTGGATAGCCGATCCGCGCAGGTCCTACCCCTTGATACTATCCCCGCGAGTAAGTTAGAACTTACGACACTTTTTTTTGATGGTCGGGTGAGTTTGTGACAGCATTTAGAGACGTCCTCGCGCTCAAGCAACTCGTTGGCATTCTTTCTTGTTCGAGTAGTCTGACGCGTAGTCTCTAAGATTGTCTCGATTTCCGACTTGCGAAGTAGCAGAGGCCCTGCGGTCCTCATGTGTAGCAGTTCTGATGCCTCCCTAGTTGTTCCGCCCAGCAAACTCAAAGGCTGTTTCCTGTCACGAGTTTATTTTTCACAAAGTTTTTGAATTTTTTCGCTATTAGATGGTATCAGCATTGGATGGCGGGAAGAAACGATCAGTGAGCGAGAGGATACCCCTTTAGTGGCAGGTGACGATCAGGTCCGGGCAACTCGTCCAGAGAGGCTGCCAGATCCCTACTTAGGGTGTTCCTCATGGTTTAATTTTGCTTTTTTTCCTTTCCTTAATAGTCAGTCAGTGACTAGAATTTTAATTGCACGCTACTCTCTCTACAATGTGCAGTCGCTGGGTTTGTCTTTTACTTACTCACCCGGGCATTGGCACCCAATTAGTGGATTCATCATTTAGTCTCGAAATGCCGGTCCGCCCAGGAATTAACCATAAATGGACGAATATTTGTGACAGCAATGAAGTGATGATTTACAGAATGTCTCATAGTTTGTCCCCATCGTTGATTTCGGGTAGTAGCCGTTTGACTTGAAGCTCCTGCGAACTACTTGGCATTCTGTAACTCATCCCTCAACTAGCGCCGTAAGGTATTTCGACAGTAAGATCAGAGTAAGATGTGGAGGGTTGTCTAATTCATGCCTGAAGGGTAAGTCTGTGTGAGTGTTGGGCTGGATCATACCCTTGCAGTATTGTCTCACTGGAATACTGCCAGTGACCGCTTCAGGCGTGACGAAGGTGCGAAATATGGATGAATGAAAAATTCAAAGGACATCTGAGGCTTTAAACTTTATAGTTTTTTTTCTTATAAACTTTCGTAAATTCGCACGGTTGTTAAACAATAGTTTCGGATGAGCTGGGGGTTCACTTAGTGTTATCATGCCTATTCTATAGTACTGTTTGTGAGAGATGCCTGGACGACGTAGACAAGCGCTGCGAGCAAGGCTGGGTTGAATGAGGATGTGTTCTGTTATACGCGCGCGTTTATACGAAAGATTTTATTTTATACGAAACAATTAAATTATCTTCTTATGTTGTCGGCTGTTTCATTACAATTATGGGCGCTATGTATCTCGAGAAGAGCCGTTCTCCAGTGGATCTAAACCAGGTCATGTCCCCACTCTTCACCAGGTAGCGTGACATGTTCTAACATTGCTCAGAATATGCCACCCTCACACCGTATCCTCTCGAAGAGTCAGTATGACATAGCCTTGTCGTCAGAACGCGACGTGGCTATGCCTCACTGAAGAAAGGCGCCTCCCTAAGCATATAGTATCTTTAAGTGGGTTTATATTACGAGCTGGACCTCATACGCCTCTATTTCGGTACTAATAACATTTTCTCGCAGTATTTGTCCTTTACTAATCCGCTCTTCGGAGCTTTGGCCAGATTTTGATCAGTTTTTTTTCGTGTGATACCTGGCTAGAATTTTGTCGCTGGAGGTAGCTTCACTCCCTGAACACTAGTTTCATCCCTGTTTGACTCCAAAACC